TCGTACAAACTTAGTCAAACTTTCAATCACTCAAAACAATATCGAAACGCCAAATTACACTCGGATTCAAACCTAAGAACCTCTAAACTTCCAAATTCCGCTGAAACCTATTAAACCACGTCCGAATGACCTCAAATTTTGCACACAAATCATAAATGACACCACAAACCTACTCCAACTTCTAGAAATCTAATCCGACCCCGATATCAAAATTTCCAATGCCGGCCAAAATCGCCAAAATTTCAACTTTCGCCAATTCAAGCCTAATTTTACTACGGACCTCCAAATCACATCCCGGACGCGCTCCTAAGTCCAAAATTACCTAACGGAGCTAACGGAACCATCAAAATTTATATCCGAGGTTGTTTACACATAAGTCAACATCCGGTTAACTTTTCTAACTTAAACCTTCTCACAAGAGACTAAGTATCTCAACTCACTCCAATATCATTTTGGACCCGAACCAACTAACCCGGTAAGTCAAAATACAGCTGAAGAACACAAAAGAAGCAGGAAATAGGGGGACGCAACTATAACTCTCGAAACAACCAACCGGGTTGTTACAGTGCACTGACTCTCATAAGAAAACTATTGCCCAGATTTTTGAGATTTAAAGTAAAATACATGCCACAAGCAAGGTAAGTTGACTAAGTAAAATACATGCCACAAGCAAGGTAAGTTGACTATCACTGATTATTATTTCAGGTTAACTAGGTTATGAAAGGAGATTGATTATATTAGGATCTCCAAGGAAAGTGGACCGATAATGCAGTTCTCTTTCAACAAGTAATCGGAAAAAGGAGTCTATGATTTTCTAGCCAGTTTAAACTAAGAATATGAACATATCAGGGCTCAAGTTCTCGATAAAGTTCATTTTCCTTATCCTTAGGATGCATACTCGTATGTTCAACAGGAAGAGAACTAATGAGGATCATGCTTTATTCAATGCCGAGTAAGAACCAGGTTACCTGTGTCTCATGAGCAACCAAAGGCATTCCTTTATGATAAATATCAATTGTACTGTGATTATTATGGAAAGACAAGGCATACAAAAGAGACATGTTGAAAACTATATGGTAGACCAACTAGAGATTGTGGAAGAAAATGTATAGGACCATCAAGGTGTCCGGTCATTATTGTAGAAAATATGGAGTCATCCAAGCAAACTGCTCCCGGAGAAGTTTTGTCTTTGGATGAAATTCTGTATCTTCGATGTCTCCCGAACAAGTTGGACTCTTCTTATGTTTCCATTCCAATTATGTGCAGTTAGGTATTACTTTTAACGCTTACTTGAATTCTTGAATTATTAATTCTGGTGAAACCCATGGTAAACTCCTCTAAAAGCTTTCAAAACTACTCTCCTCCTCTTGTCTCTGGAACAGGTTATGTTGTATGTATACCTGATCTTTTATTGTCATTCGTTTGCTATGTACCTGAGTTTCCTCTTAACCTGTTATCTGTTAGCGCTATCACCAAAAAATATATTGTAGTCTCGAGTTCTCTCTTGATCATTGTATTTTTAGGATCTTCAAACAAGAAAGAGAATTGGTAGTGATAGATTGCATAATGACTTATATTAGATTGATAGAACTCGAGGTTGGTCACGCCTTTTTTGGGGGAAATAAGGATGTCAACCAAGAATAATATAGTGGCATAGAGGGTTGAGACATACATAATTTTTTACTTTGGAGAACTTATACCATAGTTTATTTTCCAAAATTTAGTTCGAATATTTATTTTGTGATGCTTGTGCATTTTCCAAGCATACTAGAAACTCTTATAATTTTAGTGATAATAAAAGTATAACACATTTTTACCTATTTATTCTGATGTATATAGTCCTATTCAAATAGTTTCTTTGTCTGTTAGTAGATAATTTGTTACTTTTATTGATTGTTGCATTACCATGACTTGAGTGTATTTGTTAAAAGCTAAAAGTTAAGTTTATTTCAGTTTTTGGTCATTTCACAAGATGATTTGTGCCAAATTGAGACTAAGGTAAAAATTTGCAAACAGACAATGGCACTGAATACATGGATAAGAAATTTAGTGCTTATTTAGAGACTTATGGGATAGTCTACAAAATTAATTGTCCTTATACTACAACACAAAATAGGGCTACTGAAAGAAAAAATAAGTATCTATTAGAAGTGACAAGATCAATTATGTTTTCGATGAATCTACCAAAACCTTACTAGGGGGATGCCATTCTAATAGCTGCCTATCTCATCAACACAATGGTACTTAAACTCAATTTTCAGAAATTGCTAGAAGCTTTAAAAGGTAAAAATAATTATATTGTTCCTCCAAAGGTATTTGAATGTATCTGCTTTGTTCACACTAAGAACCTGAGAAATTTGATTCTAGAGTTCTTAAAGGTATATTTATTGGGTATTGTCCAACACGGAAAGAGTACAAATACTATCATCTTTCCTCAAGGAGATCCTTTATCAACATGGATATTACCTTTCGAGAATTTGAACCCCATTTTAGTATTACACCATACCTCTTTAGCGAGGAGAGCTATAAGCAGGAAAAGATTATTCTTTCAAGTTCCACTGATGAAACCACTACAACTTTCTATGGAAAAAGTACAATTGGAGAAAAATTCGGGAGGGGGGGGGTACTATTGGACGTTTGGATATGGCTGATTTAAAACTTACTCAAGGAGAAATAGAGCCGAAGAAGCTATCATGTAATCTATCGAAGATGAACTTTCTTCTAACTGTGAGTTATTTATATTTCTTAATGAGTTAAATTTACCTATTGATCACCAAAAAGGAATTAAATCTTGTACCACTAAACACCCTTTATCTAAGTTTTTCTCCTATAATTCTTTGTCTCCCTCATATAGAGCTTTTGCGTTGTTCATTTCCTTTGTGTCTATTTCCTAGAATTAGAAGGAAGCTTTGTAGATCCTAATGGAAGCAAGATATGATTGAAGAAATGAAGGCCTTGTCAAAAAATAAAACTTAGGAGCTTGTCCCTTCATCATCAAACAAGAAGATGGTTGGCTGCAAATGGGTCTTCAATATGAAGTACAAAGCTGATGATGCAAGATTAGTAGATAAGAGATTCACTTAGATTTATGGAGTGGATTATCAAGAGATATTCGCCTATATTGCTAAAATGAATACTATTAAAATTCTTTTATTTTGTGCAAGCTAATCTTAAATGGGACTTACTATAGTTTGATGTGAAAAAATATATTTTTTCATGGAGTCTTAAAAAAGAAGTATATATGGAGATTCCTCCTGGATTTGATACTGAACAAAGTCAAGGAAGGGTGGCCAGAATGAAGAAAGCCCTGCACAAATTGAAGTAATCTCCTTGAGCTTGGTTAGACGGATTCTGCAAAGGAATGATCCCCTTTGATTACCAACAGAGTAATGCGACTCACACTCTCTTCATAAGACATGGAGGTTGCCTAATAAAAAAAGGGAACTTTTATTTCTAAAAAAAGTATATTCCGGATCTCTTGAAAGAAACTGGTATAATAGGTTCCAAACCAGCAGAATTACCTATTGAAAACAATCACAAGTTACAAGCAGGAATTTGAGAGTCTATTGATAAGGAGAGATATCAGATGTTGGTTGAAAGACCATTTGTCTCTCCCAAACCAGATCGTATATAGCTTATTCAGTCAGCATGGTGAGCCAATTCATGCATAATCCCCAGGATTCTCATATGCAAGTTGTTTTTTCATATTTTGTGATATCTGAAATCTGCTTCAAGAAAAGGTATCCTTTCTCCAACTATGGCCACCTCGAGGTAGAAGACTATATAAATGTAGATCCTAAATGACAGAAAATCTAGACTATAAGCTTGTAGGAGCGAACTTAGTTACTTGGAGAAGAAAGAAGCAAAGAGTAGTTGTTGAATCAAGTGTAGAGGCAAAATCTAGAGCTATGGACCAGAGTGTATGTGAACTTCTGTGGTTACCAAACTACTAGAAGAATTGAGATTGTCTGAGAAAGAGAAACTTTCCTTATATTATGATATAAAGCTGCAATCAGTATAGCTCGTATCATGTTCAACATGACCGAGCGAAATATATTGAAATTGATAGACACTTCATAAAAAAAAAAAGATTACAAGTGGTGTCTTGACTTTGCTTCATGTGTCATCAGAGAAACAGCTAGCTGATGTGTATACAAAATGACTCAATAAAAGATCCTTTCGCACTGTGGTTTGTAAGTTGAGTATGTGTGACATCTCTACACCAACTTGGCGGGTAGTGTTAATAAGTTTGAATTAGTCTTTGTGTTTATTCTCTATTTTTCAGGCAAATTTTCAGATATTTAAGATTGTATTTGGGATATTATTCTATATATGCCCTTCTAATCAATGTATTACAATATACAGAAATCCAAAAAAGACACTTTTTCTTCTCTCAAAATCTTCCGTTTTCTTATATTTTTTTAGTAGTCACACGATGTAAAAATTCCGAAAACATCTTTCATATGGTATCAAAGCCTATACCCTCGAGCCAATATGTCATAGAGGTAGAATTTGTTACAAGGTTATTGCTAAACTTATCATGTTTTTTTGTACTCTAACAATAAACATGTAATTTAAAAAAAATATATTTACATATACATATACGAAGTCCAAACTCGATATGTGCACCCACGCACGATTAGTATGCTGGATGAGACCATATTTCAAGAGTCTATTACTCGTCCCTACTTTGACACTGCAGACAAGTTGAATTCCAGACATATTGATCAGGTGAATCATGTGAGAACACAAGGCTTCAACTATGGCGGAGTCTCAGAATTGTTTCCGAGTGGACGTACACGATGAACATTGACAGTTAGCTTAAATATGCATTAGCAGACATAAGTACAAAGGCTTAATGTGATCCTGCCATTAAGCAATTGGCGCATTGATGTATGGCTTTATAGTTTTTCTCTCTGAGATTTTTGCAATCAGTAAAGGTATTTGCAATGATTCTGTATAATGCCACAGCTTGCCTATAATGAGAATCTTGCATCACATTGAAGGGAAAACAACCATGTTCCAAATGACTGATATTTCTTATTTCTTATTAGCTTTTCTCAGCAAGTAGTGAAAGTCTGTATTTTGGAACTGCAAAATCATATCATATATACGTAACAAGAAGCATCATAAAATTTGTTCATAATATATATACTGAGATGATCATTTGACCAGCTCTTCCTTCTTCCCAGCTTCTTCAAGCTCTCTAAGACCCCCAACCTTTTGTTCAATCTCCTCTATCAGTTCCTCGCGCCATAGCTTTGCTCTTGCTTCTTCTTCAATGTCTTCTTGCTGCATAACCACAAAATCAAATTCATAGTGTCACTTTCCTACCCTTCTCCCTCTCTTTGGACCCCTTTTTGTCCTTAAAATTAAGATGGTCTAAAATATACGCACATGAGATATTTTGCTGGATAAAGCAGATACCCAACGTTGTGTGTTGGGGTGCTTATCGGGCGGATAATTAGGCTTAACGGTTCGGCTTATCGGTTATCAGATTACAAATGTAGTAATCCGCTAGCCATCCAATAAGAAAACGGGCGGATTGGTATCGGATTAACAATTATAGGGCGGTTATCGGACGGTCTATCGGCTAAACCAAATAGAATTTTTTTGAACAATCAATACCAAACGGCCAAATGCATAGTTCAAGCTGTCTCTGTTAGTTGTAGTAGCTTTTCCTGATTAGAAGCCAAAGACGACTGCCAATGCCATTGGCTACAGTTAGACGACAGTTCTATTGAGAATTAGAAATTAGAGATTTAGCCATTTAGGTTTTAATAGTACTTTATATACATAGGGGTAAAAGTATAAATATAAAAATTCTTAACGGGTTAACGGTCTATCCGATAAGAAAATTGAGTAATCCCCCCAAACCGTTAAGCCGTTAATTATAAAATCTCAATTCGTCCACAATCCATTACTCCGATAATCCGATATGAATAAGCCAATAAGTCATCGGTTCGGTTCGGTTAACGGTTTCGGTTCAGTTTTGAACAGCTATACAAATATTTCACACAAGCTTTAGATTTTGATGTTATATCTATTGATTGTTTCACTTTAAATTAATGTCTTTGACAAAAGAGATGTTTCTTAAACAAAAACTGTGGTTGGTCACATTTTGCAAGTAAGATTGAAGCTTTTTCTGCATTCTGATAAGAAGTTTTGTTCATAAAAAGAAGAAGCATTTCCTTATTTTCCAAAAGATAATGTACCTTCTCATAGACCCAATGTCCAGTACCATCACCTCCATCTCCTCTGTACTGTTCTGAATCATAGTAAGGATCCTAAAACACAGACAGACCAACAAATTAAGATTACAACTTTATCTTATGAAGTAATTTGGAATACAAATACCTAACTATTCGGAAAATCTTACTTTGGTTGAACCGAAGAAACAGCATCCCCAAACAGTGAACATGATGTAAAATGTATCTAAAATAGAAAGAATACATAGAAAATTAACTGATAAAATCCAAACTGCAAAACAATCTTATGTTCACAAGACTATAAACAGTGGAAAATAATGAAACAGAAAACAAAAATAAAACTACTCACAAACATTCTTCATAGCTTCATCACTAAGGTGCCAAACAGATTTGTGAGTTATGAGGTCCCTTTGACCTTCCATATGCTCAACTAATACTGCCATTAATGGCCAATCCGGGAGAGCCTTCACTCTGAAACCACAATTTCTTTTGCTCTTTCCACTTTGAATCTAATCATAGTAGTTCCCAAAAAGTAACGTTAGTTAATACGTTAGTTAATTCATCCACGGGGCGGCCCTTCCCTAAAGCAGGTAAAATAATTGCTTTAGGCCCCACATTTATGGGGCTCATTTTTTGTTACACCTAATAGGCTACATATAAGTTTAAAAAAAAAGGTGTGCGAGTGAAAAAGGTTTGATTTCTTTCTTTAAAAATATAGAGAAGAAAGATTTGCAACTGCTATGATTTCTGCCAAGGAAATTGCATTTGAAAAGGAATATTGAACCCGAATTTTGTAAGAAACGTGTGATATATAGGAACAAATAATTTGATGAGAATTGTGAGGCCCGTGAAAGATTTTTACTCTAAACCCGAAAGCTCGTAGTGCCAGTACCTTGACAATGCATTAAAAAGTCAAGGAATAATGTTTCCAGAAAAGTGCGATTTTGCGGTCGAAAATGCGGTCGCATAACAGCTATACGGACCGTATAGTCGCCGCAGAGTGAAGCAGTGTGTTGGTCAATTTGAGGTCAACTATACGGCCAATTATGTGATCGCATAATCGATGTGCGGGCCGCAAAGTCGTCGCATAATTCCCTTGGGATTTTGTAAGGGGCAGTTCTGCGGTGCATTATGCAACCGCAGAACGGGTATGCGGATCGCATTTCTACCACATACCCAGACAGTGTGTTCAGGTTTTGGGAAGCATTTTTGCGGTCCATTATGCGGGCCGCATGTCAACTTTGCGATCGCAAATGCGATCGCAGATCTGAGTTGGGCTCCTATTTTCTAATTTATAAAAACCCGACCCCACTCCATTAAAAACACCCCATTAGACTATTTTCCTGTTATTTCACGACATATAGAGTGAGAGGGGGAGTTCTAGAGTGAGAGGGAGTCATCTTTATCAAGTCCTCTCTCAATCCTTGCCCCAAATCCTTGAAGATTTTTCAATTGAAGCTACTAGGTCTTCATCCTAAGAGGTAAGAACTGTACCCTCATCAATAATTTCAAAATTTCTGTTAAAATAGGTAATTAGCAAGTGGGTACATGGGTATAAGGGCTAGTAATCTTGTATGCACAAGAGATAATGGGTATGGGGAGGATGAGAACTAAAGAGACAACAATTGGGGTATAATATTGAAGAAATTTCTTTCAAAAGGGGCCTAAGATCATAATGCACCTTTTATGTTTGATAATATGCTCAAACGAGCTAGAATCTTAATCTCGTCTCTAATTCTTGGTTCAATTGTAATTCTTATACAACAGATTGAAGTGCTAAGAGTCTCGGAATTTTATAAGAATTAGGGGAAAGCTTTATTGAGGTATGTATGGCTAAAAACCCCTCCTCTTAGAAATTGAGCTTCCATGGTGCCTGTGAAGTGTTGTAAGTTCGAAACGTGATTGATGCAATGCTTGTTATGTTAAGTGAATTGACGTTGTGAAAATGTATGTGGTAAGTACTTCTTATGTGTTTAATGTGTTATTCTTGTAAATGGAAGATGTGTGGAGAACATGATTTATGTGCTAAATACCTAACTATCATGCCAAGGTTACTTTGGGACTAATATGCCAAACTTGACGAATTCCTCTCTATGCTTATGACTTAAATTGCTTTTGTATATGCCTATGACTTTAAGTGGCAAGGTAAATGTTGAAAATGGGAACAATGTGAAATGTGAGTTATGGAATGTGGAAATTGTGGCCCCAAGTGCCGGTAAACTAATACATGTGTAACCAAAGATTGGTGTGAGATGAATAACGGAAAATGATAACGTCTTGGGAAGACGGCTTAGTCGATCGGGTCGTGATCGGACGCCATGATATATATGCACATGGTGGTAATGTATTGATGATTGAAACTGGAAAGAGTGAATGAAATAATGGTAACGTCTCGGGGAGACGGCTTAGCCGATCGGGCCGTGATCGGACTCCGCTCACGGAAGCGGTAGTAATATGGATAATGATGCAACAGTGTGGGATGCTCCAATCTAAAATTTCAATTACTATGTGAAAATCATGTGAACCTCCTTATATTGTTGGCATGGTGCTTATTTGAAACTTTGTTGTCTTTGCGATTTCCTCTTTACTCTTGTATGGTTGTTCTTTCTAACAGGATGGTGTTTAGTTATACATACTAGTACTATTCCATGGTACTAACGTCCCTTTTGCCCGGGGCGCTACATTTTTAAATGAATGTAGGTGGCTCCATAGCGGATAGTGCCGATCGTGTGTAGCGGAGCATCCTCTTCTCAAAATCTTGGTGAGCCCCTTCCTCCTTCAAGGGGTTATGTTGTACACCTTTTGTTATAGATATCCATTTTGAGGTATAGCCGGGGCCTTGTTGCCGGCGTGGTTATCATTGTCTTTTGTATCCTTAGAGGCTCTGTAGACGTTTGTGTGGGTTATGTACGGGTATTGGATAGGTCAATGAACCATGTTTTAACCTTGTACTCTTGCTTTCTTCTAAACTATAACTGTATGGAATCTTGGAAGCCTAACTACGGTTAAGGTTGTGTTATAAAATAAGCTATCCATGTTAAATGTACAACCCTTTTATTGTCTAATTAAACGGAGTCGGATCCCTTAATCGCATTGAGTTGAGTAGGAAGTGTATGATAAGACTTGCTCGGTTGGGTTCACTCGATTGAGCGCTGGTCGCACCTCCCGAGGTTGGGGTGTGATAAGAATGATGATAATGAAATCTCAAAATCTCTCAAAGTGTCCAGAGTTGATTACTTTTTATACATATTAGACAAGACTATTTTTTTTCACTTCAAAATTGATTTAAACAACTCGAAGCATATGAAAATATTTTTGATTTTCATTTAGCGTAAAAAAGTGAGATCACTAGTCGATGAAAATTTGAAAAAACATTACCTTAATCTTGAATGTTTAATAAAGCATAATAATCAATCCGATATTGATGGTTTAGATTTATTTTTTGAATTAAAAGTGTTAAGAAAAATAGTACTCCAATTAGAATATAACAGTTTAATTGATATACTCCAACAAATAAAAATTTTGGTTTTTTTCAAATGCATATATTTCTTATAAAATAATGTTAATAACTCCTGTTACGGTTGCTTTAGTAGAAAGAAGTTTTTCAAAATTAAAATTGATAAAATCTTACCTTAAAATCAACAATGTCTCAAGATAGGTTAAATGGATTAGCTATAATGTCAATTGAGAAAGACTTATTAAGAGAAATTGATTATAAGAAAATTATTAATTACTTTGCATCTAAAAGAAACTAGAAGAATAGACTTCCAATAAAAAATAAAAAATAAAATTTTTAGAAAAAGTTAAGGCCGCTCGTAAAGTTTGACTTTAGGCGACAAAATTTGTCGGACCGCCCCTGTTCATCGAAATATTGTGAGAATTCTTTTGATCCAACATATAAGTGCACTTACTGCGTCGAGCATCATACTATATATAAGTATATAGAATAACAATAACAACTTCTACGCTTCAATCGCTATGAATCATAAGCCCATCTCAAAATGAAATATAATAAAAGGATTAACTTTATTAACATTAGAAGTTGTCCATGTATCTACTTATTAACTTATATTGAATGGTGCACCATCTTTAAATTTGGATTGATCTTCGTTATGAATATGGGATGATAAAATGAAACATATATACCTGGTGCCTGCCATTCCCGAAGGCTGAGCTTGAGCAGTGCCTAAGCTGCAAATTCAAAACAGAAAAAAAAAAAAGAAAAAAAAGAAGAAAGAAATAAGCAGAACACATAGAAGTGATGGAATTTGAGAGTAGAGTAAAGAGGTGAAAGGAAATGCTAATTAACTGATTTTGTGAAAGAGTGCAACTCCAATTTAGTAGCGTGACATTGAACAGTGGGTTTGATTACGGTGAAGCTCATTACAGCTTCAGCCATGAATGGTCGTTACAATTTTGAGTTTTGGATAATTAGTTGTCTTCCTCCGTTCCTTTTACGTTGTAAGGTTAGGAAGCAGATAAGAAATTGTATAATTAATATTTATTTATTATCTTCTACATCATGAACAAATGGCCCATTAGCTCAGTTGGTTAGAGCGTCGTGCTAATAACGCGAAGGTCGCAGGTTCGAGACCTGCATGGGCCAATTGTTTTTTCTTTTTTTTTTTTTTCCTTAAAATACCCAAATAATACCCCCAATCACTGTAAAAGAATAAGGACGAGTACTCTTTTCTTGGAAAGTTCTAATATATGTAGCCAAATCTCTTCATAATTTTCAATTAGGAGGAATAAGAGAAAGATGAGATTATTTGATGTAGAGAAGCAATTCGCCTTTTATGGAGCATACCACAGCAACCCAGTGAATTTCTTGATTCACATGGTGTTTGTGGGGCCAATCTTTTTCACAGCTCTTATTCTCTTCTACTTTACACCCCCACTTTTGAATTCCACTCCAATTCAGCTATATGTAGATAATTGTTTTTTAGTCTTGAATCTTGGGTTCTTGTTTACTTTGATTTATGCCTTTTTCTATGTGTGTTTGGACAAGAAAGCTGGCTCTTTAGCTGCTTTGCTCTGTTTATTTTATTGGGTATCGAGCAGTTTTGTTGCTCATTATCTCGGGTTCTCTCTCGCCTGGAAGGTAATGAGTTTCTTTCTTTTTATACTTTCATTCTTATTGTTTTGGTCAAATGGAATATTGATGATTCATATAGTTGACTTCAACTAGCTTGGGATGGAGTTTGGGTTGTTTTTGTTGTAGTTTATTTTAATGATCTCTAGCAATTAATTTATCTACTTGTTAATTTGCGTGATACTTTTTTCTTGGAATGATTCACAAATAGTCACTTTTGCAGTTGCTATTTGAAAATAAGCCACAGTTCCAAATCTAATCAAAATTTAACAACTTTTTTATGTGGAAATAGTAGTTGGACAAAAAGCGGTAACGACTCGGTTCTTCAACTTTTCCACGAAATCCAGGTCAGGAGTTTCACTTGTACATGTTCCGACTCCAGGATATTGTCTTGGAGTTCAGCTTTTGCTACTTAATAACCCTAAGACAATGTCGTGGAGTTGGTGTTGCTGCAGCGCAGCACCAACATGCCGGACTTCTAGCAACCTTCCTTTTGAGATGAAATTGCAGTTATTCATAGGTGTTTGCTGTGACTACTAATCTACTACATGTGGAACCCATGCTGATTTTAGGAATCACACAGGCTCTCTCTGTGTCTCAACTTCTATAACCATTCCCACTACAAGAATTTGGGAATATCGACAGAAAAAGACTTCAAAAAGTCATCATGAATCCAAATTTTTATGACTTTCTGATGGCAACAAGTGTGTAGATCCTCGTCGATGATTCAATTTTTTTTTACTGCAGCTAATTATGTTGTAGAACCAACCAAAAGGGGTGGTGATGATCATCGTTTTACGGCTAGGAGGGTTAGATAGATTGGAACAGAGTTAATGGAGACCTAGTGTGAAATTCATAAAGCTGCAAAAACTGAACTCCAGGACAGCATCTTGGAGTTCACTTGTAGAAGTAGAAACTCCAGGACGATATGCTGTAGGTTTTACTTGTATGAGTTCGAACTCCATGATACTTGATGGAGTTTTTCCGTGTTTAAGCTAAGGGTACATTTGTTGAGAATTTATTTCCGCATTCAAAAATGGCTATTTTTCAATTACCTTGCAAGCGCTAAGTGTTTTCAATGGCAGGTCCAAATAGTGGCCAGCCACGCTAGTTTTACATTTTTCCTTGTTTGATGTCCAGTAGCTTCAGCTTTTGCTGTTCTCAGCTTAATTTCACACGTGCTGGTGCATTTTTCTTCTTGATTGTTTTGTCTCTATACTTGTAATTGACACTTAGGACTTCACCCTGCAACGACAACTGCTACACCTCAACCCAAACTAGTTGGGATATGAGTTCTCAATATCTACGTACTCTGCTGCATTTGCACCATTTCGGCTCAATCATTTGCTGTTAAGATAAATTCGGAGTTCTCTAATACTGAAGGTTCTCTACATTTTTATCTCTCAGCTGAAAAGACTCCTAATTATCATCACTATTTGAACATAACTGGACTTGAATCCCAACTAGTTGGTATTGATTACAGAAATCTTTTGTTTCTATATTTGCTAAGTCCTGTTGATTCCAAGAAATTATATTTCTTTTAACACAGAATGCTTCCATGTATTTTAGGACTTCACCCTAATCTAACTAAAATTTTAGCCTCTAATCGTGTTAAGCCATATGTTAATTCTGTAAAGGAAAATTACCAGTGGTTCACCTGCTTCATTAATTCGCCAAACAGCATGATGAGTACATCAATTTCTTGCAGAGGCGGAGCTAGGATTTGAACTCTATGGGTTCGAGATTATAATCCTTTTAAGTTACTGGATTCTAAATTAGTAGTTTTTACATAGTCATTGGATTTCTTAATACAAATACAAGGTTTGAACAAAAGCTACTGGGTTCGGCCGAACCCGCAGGCAGCACTGTGGCTCCGTTCCTGACTGCTTGAGTAATAACTTTATTGCACCCCTTTCTTGTCTTAAATCTGGAATAGTTCCTGTCCTGATAAGACCTGTTGGACAAGCTAGTTCAGTGTAAGAAGGAGAACTGGAGGAATCAGTTTATTTATTTGTGGAACTTTCCTGGAAGTCAAACAGAATAATGCTATACGAATTAAGACTCTGCTTATCAGAGTTCCAGTTACCACTCATTTTTTGTCTGTTGTATTGAATATTTTCTCTAGATTCCATGGGACTCCCTACTTGTTTTTTTATGACTTGACCTAAAGAGTTGTTTAGTATAATCCTATATTTACTGGCGCAACTAACAAACAATGCTGAAAAGGGAGGTTTTAGTTATAACTGTATGGTGGCTTATTTGCATGCCTTGGATATGATGCTGATAGTACTAGCGTGATTCTAAGCATGACTCTAGTTATTACACTGAATCTTCTAATCAGTTCCACCAATTTCTGGCAAATGAAGTATCACGTAGCCACCATGGTTGAGTACAATCCACATTTATTTGATGAGGGTTGTTAAATGTCACATGGGATTAGCCTTTCCCGACTGCATACCCTTTGTTTGAGTTTGTTAACTCCATACACTTATCGGTAAACTGCTTCTCTTCTGATCCTTGGTCATATACCTTAATAGATTCTGTGGTTTGCTCATGGGAAGGCTTCAGTGATGCTTAGCGCCTAATTTCAGAACTTCTTTTGCTGTAGCAGTTCTTTGATGTTCATCCCTGCCTTATATCCACTTTGGATCTAATTCACACTTGACCATCATCTATTTCTGGATAAAGGACAAGAACAAAAAGCCAAGTACTATTTTGACTCTCCCTGTCTATCTGATGTGGACTGATCATAGATACATAATTTCACGATCCATTGTGTTAGAAATACATCTGCATCTGTTGAATTTATCTTGAAATATCTGAGTGCTTGGTGCTAACAATAAACATCTTATCAGGTTGTTCTTGTCGCTCAGTTATTCTGCTGGACTGGACTGGTTATAGGCCATGGAGTGTTTGAGGTGACATTTGCGCCATTTATGATCCTTAGAACTTCGTCTTATATCTTTTTCTGTTTGTATATCGTCTTGCTTATTTAATTTTGTAGAAACGAGCGCCTGCTCTGTTGGACAATTTTGCGGAAGCATTCCTTATGGAACCTTTCTTTGTACTTTTAGAGGTAAATCTACTAGTTCTGTGTTAAATAGGAAATGCTTTCACTAGATTGATATAATCTATCTTTTCTTGACTTGCAGGCTCTCTGGACATTTACTGGCTATGAACCATATCCTGGATTTCATGCAAAAGTAAAATCTACAATAGATGCTGAAATCAAACAATGGCAGGAGAAGAAACATAAGAAAATGTCCTAGGTTTGAATCTGGTGAAGTTGTTACCTTATCTAATTGCCTCTGTTAATGAGACCAAGTTGGTGGGCAGGCCAACTGCTTGTGTGCACATTAGCTTAGGTTTGTGTAACTCCTTTGCAAAACCAACCCTTTATTCTTAATGTAAAGATGGGTCTTCTGTATTTTGTTGGAATTATTCATTTTACTAGAATATAAAGGAACTTTTGAGTCTCTTAGCTGCATTTGTCAAAGTCAGAGGAAATTTTCTACCTTGGTTGCTAATTGGCCATTTCATGCATTTTAGTTATATGGAGATATGTTAAAATTCTGAACTTTGTTTTTCCTTTTGGTAACAAAATTCTGAACAACTTAAATATATTTATTTCATGGGATTACTTAAGCAAATAACAGTTTGGAGAACATTAGATGCTCTCCATATTCATATGATAAGCGGTAGGGGACATGAAATCACAAGATTAATGACCAGCCTGATGCACTAAGATTGCTGCTATGCTGGGGTCTGGGGAAGAGCCCGAACTGCAAGAGGTTACAAACAATCCCACAGTGTTGTTTTTAAAGGTACTCCTCATTTAAATTACACAGTGTCCATGGAAGTGTCAAAACTAACCAACTAGTGGTTGCATTATTACACTTGGATTTGCCTTGAAAACACAACAAATAACAGCATAACGTCAATACTTCTAATATTGATCTTTAACTTTTCTTTGAAGTATAAAGAGTTGTAGCTATTCTGTTAGAAATATGCTATAGAAGCTGCTCTCAGTAAAAATATGGAATTATAACCAAATATCACTACCCAACACTTAAACGTGGCTCGTCCTCGAGTCAACTAACAATTTACACTATCCTTGAGCACTTTTTTACACAATTGAGGCACACTACACCAATCACCATGGTTTATAGTAACAAATAGCAACAATTAAACCTTAGCCTATGCCATCACGTAAACTTCCCTTTTTCTTATGCCAAACTTCAAAAATATTCAAACAAAAACAACATGCTCGTAACAATCCTAGCCTCAAAAACTAACTCAATGTCACAATGCACTCATGGCTTGAACACCCAACATCATAGAGAGAAGTCTAATAACATTACTTATCCCTTGTGAAACCATGTGCCCTCACAACAAGAACAAGAGAGTAAGTTGAATCCGTACATTCAAATCAATGCTCAAATATATTTTAAGGACTCATATATATCAAAGAAAATCTCTCACTCTCACAAAAAAAAGTCACATGCATGCAATTGGCACCATAGGCTTGCCCTTAAATGTAAATCTCTACTAATATAGGCTCACTCAGTCTAAAATCAATTAGGACTTTTTTTATGGTTGTAATGTGGGTTAAGGGACGGGTAAGATATATTTTAGGAATAGTGGTTAACCCTCCTAAACACTTTAACACATCATATAATCAACTGTAAGCGCAAATTCTTCGGTCCCAATTTAATTTCACAACTTCAATCACTCCCAACAATGTTTCTTTTTTTTCTTTAAGCACTACTTTATATTATATCGCACTAGCAAGAACAAGACAACAATTTATTCACTTATATTTTTTTTTTCTTCTTCAATTTCCGCTAGTGGTGTATTATTTGACAAAACAAGTGCACCTTTCTTTCTTTCATTGGTTCCACTCAAAAGCCACCCCACACTTAGTCCCTTCTTACTTCTCGCTCATTTCACAATTAAAGTGCTTTAAGAGGTAAAAAGATCAAAACAACGTCACTTAAGAATAAAAAGGGTATAGGCTTGTAATGTAGGTGCCAAATAAAATCTATAGGCTCAAAAAGGGTTAACTAGGGACAAGTTTTATTTGTGATAAGCATTGTAGCTCAAAAAGATCAAAGAAAGCCTAAAATCACTTTTCAAACCGAGCATCACCTAAAATTTCGCTTCAACTCACATATTGGGCAAGTTCTAGACAGAAGTACAATGACATGGACTACACAAAAATCTTACTTCACACATGGCACATAACTCACTAAGGGAAGGTCTCATTCCGACTCTCAACTAATGCAAATATTCACGGAGCCACGAGATATTAATCATTAAGCACAGAGTGAACATAAGTCAAGAAAATGAGACATAGGTGTCACAAAACATGCTATCCAGTATACAAAAGGCATCAAGATCAACTTCAAAATATAGGGAAGATACTACACATGACAAAGCCTAAATATGTTACTATCAAACAAGTCAAGGCGCCTAGGAATCTCATCTTTCTTCCTCCATTTATTCCCTAAATTCTAATCTACAACAACAACAACAACAACCCAGAAAAATCCCACAAGTGGGGTCTGGGGAGGGTAGTATGTACGCAGACCTTACCCCTACCCCGAAGAGGTAGGGAGGCTATTTCCGGAAGACCCTCGGCTCAAGATAAGAAGACAAACAAAAAGGAGAGAATGTTAGTTTCATCACAGAGATCATAGGAAAATAGGAACATAAAATGCAGAAGGAAAAAGGCAAAAACAAAAACAAAAATGATGGCTAGTAAATAGGTCCTGCATCGAAAAGAGAAAATAGTAAGACACGACAATGCCCCTAGCTATCTCAGATAAAAATCCTACCAGACTATGCTCACAACAGTACAAGGTAACGCAAGACTCAACTACCTCCTAGCCTACAACCGTAATACTCGACCTCCACAACTTCCTATCAAGTGTCATGTCCTTGGAAATCTGAAGCCTCGCCATATCCTGCCTGATCCATTCTCCCCAATACTTCTTAGGCCTCCCTCTACCTCTTCTCGTGCCCTCCACAACCAGTCGCTCACACCTCCTTACTGAAGCATCTGGGCTTCTCCTCTGAACATGTCCGAACCATCTGAGCCTCGCTTCCCGCATCTTGTCATCAATGGGAGCCACGTGCACCTTCTCCCGGATATCATCATTTCTAATCTTGTCCATCCTAGTGTACCTGCACATCCAGCTCAACATCCTCATTTCTGCTACTTTCATCTTTTGGATATGTGAGTTCTTAACAGGCCAACACTCAGCCCCATACATCATGACCGGTCTAACCACCGCTTTATAGAACTTACCTTTGAGTATCGTTGGCACTCTCTTGTCACACAAAACTCCGGATGCTAACCTCCACTTCATCCAACCTACCCCAATACGGTGTGCGACATCCTCATCGATCTCCCCTCCCCCGTGGATAACCGACCAAGGTACTTGAAGCTGCCTCTACTAGGGATAACCTGTGATTCAACCCTCACATCCACGCCTACCTCCCGCGGCTCAGTGCTGAACTTACACTCCAGGTATTCCGTCTTCGTTCTGCTCAGCTTGAAACCTTTAGACTCAAGAGTCTGTCTCCAAACTTCTAGTCTCTCGTTAACACCGGCTCGTGACTCATCAATCAGAACTATGTCATCGGCAAATAGCATGCACCATGGCACCTCCTCTTGAATATGGTTTGTTAATGCATCCATCACCAGGGCGAATAAGAACGGACTGAGCGCAGAGCCTTGGTGTAACCCCATTTCAACCGGAAAATGCTCAGAGTCGCCTCTTACTGTCCTAACCCGAGTCTTAGCCCCATCATACATGTCCATAATCGCCATAATGTAGGGAACCGACACACCTTTTGTCTCCAAGCATCTCCAGAGAACTTCTCTTGGAACCTTGTCATACGCTTTCTCTAGGTCAATAAACACCATGTGCAGATCCTTCTTTCTCTCTCTGTACAGTTCCACCAACCTCCTAACAAGGTGTATAGCTTCTGTGGTAGAACGACTCGGCATGGACCTGAACTGGTTGGCAGATACAGACACTATCATCCTCACCCTCGCTTCAACGACCCTCTCCCATACTTTCATGGTATGACTCAGTAATTTGATACCCCTATAATTGTTACAACTTTGGATATCACCTTTGTTCTTATACAATGGAACCACCGTACTCCACCTCCACTCATCCGGCATCCTCTTCGCCTTAAAAATAACATTAAACAACCCAGTCAACCACTCCAAACCTGCTCTCACTACACACTTCTAAAATTCCACCGGAATCTCGTCTGGCCCGGTTGCTCTGCCCCTACTCATCTTACGCATAGCCCCCACAACCTCCTCAGCCTTGATACGCCTGCAGTGCCCGAAGTCACGGTGACTCTCGGAATTCTCCAATTCGCCGAGCACAATATCCCGATCCCCTTTTTCATTCAGAAGTTTCTGGAAGTAAGTCTGCCATCTCCTCTTAATCTGGGCATCTTCCATCAGTATCCTACCATCTTCGTCCTTGATGCATCTCACTTGGTCCAAATCCCGAGCCTTCCTCTCTCTCAACTTGGCTAGCCGAAATAACTTCTTCTCCCCGCCCTTTTCCCCTAGTTCCTCGTACATACGACCATAAGCCGCAGTCTTAGCCTCCGTGACTGACAGTTTAGCTTCCTTCCTAGCTACCTTATATCTCTCCATGCACGCTCGCCTCTCCTCCTCACCTATGCTCCCCACTAACTTCATGTATGCTGCCTTCTTCGCTTCCACTTTACCTTGGACCACTTCATTCCACCACCAGTCTCCTTTATGCCCACCAGAGACACCGGTCGAGACCCCTAATACCTCTCTCGCAGACGCCCTTATACGGTCTGCTGTTGCTGACCACATAGTGTTTGCGTCCCCACTGCTCCTCCAAGCACCAATAGCCGACAGCCTCCACTCCAACTCTTGGGCTTTATCCTTAGTCAAGGCTCCCCACCTGATTCTCGGTGTTCCCCGAGCAGTCCGTTTCCTCCTCTTGAGCCTAATACCAACGTCCATCACCAAGAGTCTATGATGCATCGCGAATGTCTCACTCGGAATCACCTTGCAGTCTTTGCACAGTCCGCTGTCACACCTCCTGAGGAGGAGATAGTCAATTTGAGTCTTCGCTACCGCATTCTGAAAAGTAACCAAATGTTCATTCCTCTTCGGAAACCTAGAGTTCGCAATCACCAACCCGAAAGCCTTAGCGAAGTCCAACAGCATGGTACCTCCTCCGTTTCTCTCCCCAAAACCAAAGCCTCCATGCACCTCGCCATAACCACCTGCGGTCGCCCCAATATGACCATTGAAATCCCCTCCTATGAATAGCTTCTCGGCAGGCGGAACCTGGCGCACAATCTCATCTATCCCCTCCCAGAAGCGTCGTTTAACCTCCTCATCTAGGCCCGCATGCGGCGCATAGACGCTAATGACGTTTAGGGTGTACTCACCAACCACCAACTTAATAA